GCGACTCGGCACGCCACCACCTTGCTCGCCGATCCACTTGATCGCCTCCTGCTTCTTTTCGAACCTAATTGCTTGACGCATGGTCGATTTCAAAATAACGGCCCAATGCTAAGCGGCCTTTTATTTGAAGAGGTCTTTTATTTCTAGAACATTGTCAAAAATTCGATGGTGGCTTGTAATAGTAGAAGGCCTTCTATTCGTGAAAATCCGTCACTTTACAATAGCCGCGTAACCTTAGCTATATAAAGAACGACACAAAACTAATGCCTGCGAAAAGGAACCCATTACTAGACTTAAAGTCACTTCGTCACGGCACTTGAAGGTATTTTACCACGCGCATTCGCTGGCCTTCTCGACAAAACTCACAGGCTAAGCTGCGGTATGGGTTTATACGGCGTAGATAGATGAACGTTTTGCACGTTGATACGCTTCAAGGATATAGGATGCCATATCTCAATACAGCAAAATACTTAATGCCGCAGTCACCATAATGAAATCGAAGTGGCGATCGCAGTGATCTTTTTAGCAGTCAGATAGAGCGACGGTGCAAGTAAGAAAAAAAGCATGAGAAGCTTATGATGCTCAATGCAAAGCATTAGCACTCAATTACTCGTACTGATGGGAAGCAGGCACTGCGACTTCGCGACTTGGCCAGACAAACATTCTCACAACGCTTTATGACCCGAACAGAGCTTTTTTAAGCCCTAAGATATAGTTTTAAAAAGCACGAGCGACTTCGTGCGGAAATCAATCGAACGTAAATGGCGCTGTGATGCAATAGACCACTACATTAATCACAACTTAAGGAGAGATTGTGAAATATATCATGCTTCTTAACGTGCAAAACAGAGAAACATGTTAACTACGATAAACAAGCTTGAATCCCGTTACAGGTCACAGCTTTGTTTTCAATGTACGAAGATCACTACAACGATAAAGATTTTGTAATGCGATCTCGACGAATGAATTATTCGAATTTATGGAGCAAGCAAGTCAGACCTTTAACTCAGTTTGACTAATACATGTTTCAGTAATTTTTAGTGTCCACCGATCATGTAAGTTTTTCCGCACTTGAATCGCATTAATCTCGCGCCCAACAATTTGATTACACATTTGACATCAACGAACGACATGACGACATGAAATGACTATAAAAAACAGTAAAACAGTTGATACTATAGATTTACTAAGTACTTCTACGCCTTGGTGTACTGATGAGAATGTTCCTCCGACGGGGTGACTGGATCATGAAGCGAATTATCACGATTGCGGAAATGGTGCTCACGACGACGCAGAATACAAGTACTGACAATGATCATGAGCGCACCAAGACACACGAGGACGCTGCCGATGCCCATGTGCAACGAATAGTGCTTGACGAGGTCCAGAAATTCGGCGCGACACTGCGTGTACGGTGCTGTTCCAACAACAATGTTCGACAATGAACCTGTTACCAAAAACTGTCCGCAAAAGATGAGAGTGTCGTTGGTTCTTGGACATTGACGGTCTGCCCAATCAAATACATTTGTGTAGTTCTCATACTCGCGCACAGTGTCACATCCAAAGCAAAGACTCTCAAGCTGCCTATTATCACTGAGGTAATCGCTACACAACGAGGCTACGCCACCCGCCACGTTAGCAATCCGTGCCATCGTCACCGTGTCGAGCTCAACATCGAACATGATCAGCGCTTCTGCAACCGTCGCCTCAGTGCACATATACACGCCTTGCGCGTAGCAATAGACCTGATCAAAGTCTTCTTTCACAGTCTCCTCTGTGCTCTCCACCGGATAAATTTTATCGCTCCAGTCATCAGCTTTCGCCCTGAGGACGAAAGCAGCGATTGCTACGACAGTGAACAAGATCAAAAATAATAGCACCAGAATAGCGTACGCGCAGAGACCGAATCTCCATCGACAGACCGCAGCAATGGACCCTAGCACGGCTAGACTGATAATAACGGCTCCAATTACAATGAGAGCCGTCACGGCGTCGTCGAATCTCGACCAGTAACCTTCTATCACGTCAACCCAGCCGGCATGTCGCAAGTAAATGCCCACGTACAATACTAAAGCGCCACCGGATGCCAAGACGCAATTAATAGCGATCAGAATTATTTGTGTCGCGGATATATTGAAAAATTGAATTATCTTCATTGCACAAAAGTCGCGCAAATTTTGAACTGGTGCCTACAAACGTTGACGAACTACATACAGTATGAGCAATCCAGATAGCAGGCATGGCTTCTTCCCTATACTATCCAGGCGAATTATGACTGTAGGGAGAAAAAACTGTATTAAAATTAAGTATTACAGATAGCATCACAATATGCGACGTTTTCGATCAAAATTCATGACCATCGTTCCTGAAATTGTGTAAAGCTAAAACAATCAGCAGGAAGTGTTGTTGAAGTTGTCATGCCCTAATATATCCTATAATCAAGTCTCTAATTCAGCTTAAATGCGCCCGTAAACCGAAAGCATTACTAAGGAAGTGGGTTGACGGTCACGACGCCGCAGAATACAGGCAAATGTCAAAACCATGATTGCGTCTGTACACACGATAATGCTACAGACACCAAGCCAAAATGAGTGTTTTTTCACCAAATCCAGAAATTCCGCCCGGCATTCAGTATAGGGAGCCGTTCCATGCGAAGTGCTTGTCTCCCCAGTGTTGAGGAAAATCCCACACCAGATCCAAGTTTCTAAGGATCTAGGGCATTTTTCGTCCGCCCAATCAAGTAGAGACGAAAAGGTTTTGAATTGCCATGCTTGATCGCATCCCTTACATAAGCTTGACAGCATGTCGAAGTCACCCGAATGGTCGTCGCATAAGGCGTAAACACCGCCGGACATGTTCTTGAAGTGCGATAGAGTGGACAGGTCAAGTGTCGGTACAAACATCGCAAGCGCGTCCGAGACTGATGCTTGGTTACAAACAAATGCACCTTGCGCATAACAAAAGGCTTGGTCGAAGTTTTCTTTCACGATTTTCTCATTGCTGCTGGCCGGAAACGTCGAGCCTTCCCAAGTGGCGGCCTGATGACGTAGCGATAAGGCTGCGCCAGATACAAAGACAAACAATATAAAGATCACAATGATCACATTTGAATAAATACACAGGCCCAAACGCCAGCGACATACTGACGCAAGTGATCCTAGCAGAGCTAGTGCAATGACGACACTGGCAATAACGATTAAAACAGTGATTATGGCGTCGATTGGAGACCAATAGCCTTTGATCACTTCCACCCATCCCATGTAGCTGAGAGATATCCCAAAGTATAAAATAAACACGCCACCAATTGCGAGGATGAAATTGATCGCAACCAAAATCAACTCGCTCACGCATTTGGCGAGACAGGAACACCTTTCCATAATTTTGTCGGCTGTTTGCTTTGAGTTGACGAGGAGATTGTCAACTACGTTTGCATAACGGAAAGAAAGTCACAGTGTTCAAATTTGAACAAAAACATCCCAGCCATCAAGACTTCTCGCGCCACTAAGAAAACGAACGTTTCAGCAGGTATCTAATTACCGTCAGTCGCACGACCCAGAAGATACTTTAGCGTTGCGCCTATCCGGCTACAGTAACTTCATAATCGCTTGAAGACTCAAGGTTGTCCAATTACGACTGGATGGTCCTATAGGGCACACTTTGTCATGTTCACCAAAAAATAATCGGCTGGACTCTATATTCATTGCAGCGTTTTATACACGTCATCCATGCGTATGTCGCGGCGCAAAAATCAGCATGAAGAAATGATGTCTCGACAGCGACAATAATACTGGTTAAAAGCTCTATAAATGCGCTATGACACTTTGCGTAGGGTACCTTGTGGTCGTATGTATTCGCGTCGATCTCGCCGAGAAATGAATCGCCAAACCACGTCAAAATTCTAGCATTATATTAGCAATTCGCGCACCGACAGAACCGACGTACCCTTTGTGCTGCATCAAACCCGCCACACACATCGGTAACTTCTTCGAAGTTACCCAGGTATTTGTTGCACAATGCGTTGACGTTTGAAGTTTTGACGGTCTATAACAATAGTCGAGTTTAAGTCCAAAAAGCTCATGGCTGGCTCTTCAAAGACAAGCCTTTGTTACGTATGTACATTCCTTGCGCTAGCAATAGATTGAATGCAATCCTACTTTAATGTCGGTTAGATAGCCGGGTAGGTATTATCTGTCCAGCCTTACTTACCAGAGCAGGAACGAGCAAACAAATATGAGGCAGAACAGCACATGCACGGTTTTAATCCGTGCACTCTATGCAGCCCCGCTCTTCCGAAGTAGACTAGTTTGTATAACTCCGAGCGCTGCTGCGGTGAACTACGACACCCACCTCGCAGAGTAGCATCTTAAATGATGCAGTAGGGTTCTACCCAGCTTGTGTGGTGCACAAAATCAGCCACATAGAGCAAGCCAGAATCCAGGGACTTTGCGGCTTTCAAAAGATCAAAGTGGAAAACTATCGATTAAGATAAACTTATAATAATGCGAGAAGACGAAATCGCGGTGTTGTGACGACAGGTGTCGTTGTTACGCACACATAATTAAAAATGAGGATTAAGTTGAAAGCTTATTTTACTCAAAATGCTCATCAAAAGTGAAATTTTATTGAGCTCACCAACTGCCACATAAAAAGTTTCACAAACTAGAGAGAGGTGTGCAGAACCAGGGGCAAAACTAACACTAGCTAGTATCCTTCACCCTGAGGAATGTAGAGCATAAAGCTTACGAACGGCAAATAAGAAATAGTCATTAAACAACATTATCAAGCAGTGATATTGAATCACTTGCAATTTGATCTTTATGGTCGGAAGTAAGGTAAAATGTATTATTCGAGAAAGTTAAAATAATTTTGCCACACAGCTTCATGCAAACATCGAATATCCACTAAATCAATATATATTTTCCAGATGTTTCCTATCAAAGATACAGCTGTATTTCCATCGTGATTGTGCCGCCGTAACTCACACAAGGAGATCAAATTCCGTTCGAGCGCTCCAAACACGAGATTCACTGACTTTTGTATCGACTCGTAGACAGCACTATACCAAAGCCCAAGCTCTCTTACTAAGCACCATGCCTCGACTGACAGCTGCAGGTGGCCTGATGATCCTGGTAAACATTGGTTTTCTGGTGGCTGGCGCCCTATTGATACACTTTAAATCGATACTTGATAGCAGTGGCTGGGCTGATGCCCTTGCAGATACCGAATATGATTACATTGCTGAAGCTGCGACTTCAGCTGCAGAAATTCTTGGAATTGCGGCTATCACGCTGGCAATGGTTGGTATCGTAGGCGCTATTATCCAGAATCGCCTGCTCCTCCTCTTGTACTCGCTCATCATGGTCGCTGCTATGTCAGCCTTTGGTGTTTTGGCCGGCACGGCCTTTACTTTCAAAACCAAGCTGACTGAGTGGGAAGATACAGCGTTTCCAGCAAACGATCAGGAGAGCAAGCTGGCCGGAACATTTAACGAGGTGTATTGTTACGCTGAGGGTTACTACTATTGCAATAGCGCTACTGCAAAAGAATCATACGAGACGTTTTTTCCTGTTGCTAATCCCACAATAGTGAGCATGCTTCCTGATATCACTGGCATCGTATCCGTCTGCGCTGATCCCAACACAATGACAAGTCTATCGATGGTGGAAGGCCTAACGAAGGTGTGCGAAGCCTGCAACATGTCAGCTAAGTTTACCAAATACGACAAGATTCTTACCTGGGCGGAAAGTAAGTGTCCGAGAACTTTGCAAACAAGTCAGTGGTGTGCTAGATTCCTTGCTACGACATCTGGCGGTGCTGTATATGACGGCGCGCCGTACGGTCAGTGCCGCAACAGTTTCTTAAATGTGGCTATCGACTGGAGCGGCACCATGGCACTGGCTGGATTGCTTGTCTCCATCGCCGCAGCCGTCATCGTTGGCTTGGCCTGTTTTTCTCGACGCTGGAAGTCATCTTCTGGCGAACATATAATTAAAATGTAGAAGTGTCATTAATCAAAAGTTATTCTTACGATGTGATTGTATTTGAACAGAAATTTCTTGACTCAAGTAGATGGAATGTCGTGTTGTAGTGGTCCTCTACAGTGCACGAAGCGTGAGGAATTTATGAAAAAAGTATTAGATAATTAATCGGACCGATGTATCTAAAGTTGTGCGTGCAATGTGTCGTAGCTGAAATTAGAGAGATAGATTTACTAAGTTGAAAGTTCGTACAGCACCTATAAATCGTATGATCAAAGATTAAAAGATCGGTCGGGGGACGTGACTCCTTGTGGGGAACCCCAAACACCAAGTAACCGCTTCCTAACTTTGACCGTTTTGGGACTCGAGCCCTAGATTGGAGCCACCACTCCAAACCACTGAGCCAGATCTCATGACGAAATTGTGGGTAAAGTCCAATACTTTTAGGGAATAATATGTAGATACAAAAAAAATTACGTGGTAGCTTTCAGTTACACTTTTGGTAGGGGCGTACTAGCCCAACCTCTTTGCATTTATTTGCGCGGACATGATGAACAAAAGCTCCCTTTGTGCTACGTGTACAGCAATTGCATTGTACTTGATAGCAATTTAGAACAATTTAGCGACTTAGTCGTGGCATAATATCCTCTGCGAGGATGGAACATAAAACGTTTCAGCGTTTGAGTACCTATTCTAGGGAATAGTAAAGTAGCATATCAAGCTTATGTCTGCCGTGGATCCCAATGGGATTACAAATACTGTGGCTAAATCGCCGGAGGAGTAAATCGCTCGTCTGGAAGCGCTTAACAGCTTTGTGAATGCGCTGGTGAGGCACATTGAGAAACGCCACAATCGAACACTGGTGAAGAGCCGATGGTCCTCATATCAAGTCCGCTGATGTTTAGTGTCAAAAAGTTCGAGGAGCCACTGATCAGGAGATGCATCAGACGTCTAAATGACGCAGGTGGGCAGGCATTTTGTGACGCCATGTTGTATTATGGAAACTTGGGATTTGATCATTAAAGAACGATGCGTTCATTATGAAGACACCGGGACGGGTAATAGGCGTGCCAATTAAGTCCATTTTTTGAAACTTGCCAAAAAGTCGCTAAGTCAGTGGTTGTGATCGTTGAGGAAGCAGGCAATCGCGCGAATAATGGATTCAGTGTAGTTTTTGTCAGTCCAACGCTAACGATGACGTGCGTTTACAACTTAACGGAGCAATACACTGTGAAAATTATGGCACTGTTGGCGCTAAGATACGAGATGGCAAACGATAGATTGTTGCTAGTAATGCTGTGCTAATGTCTTGCGCACGACTAACGAGGGCCTGGCTGTTCATTATTGGATATTGAGTAACGACAGCGAAAAAAGAATTCGGACAAAGGTTTCTCTGAATAAGGTAGGATACGTGTATAGAGCTGTAAAATGTAGTAAGCAATTGGTAACTAAAATCCTACTTCTGCGCAAAAGGCCTCAGAATTTGACTCTGTATTTTTCAAAGGGTTCTGAGTTCTTGCACATCAAGCAAAATATTTCATAAACATGTCATTGCCCGTCTCAAAAAGGCAAAAAAATCAACCAACGAACGGCGAGCCGTATGCTTATCTAACAAAGGTTATTGTCGATTAACCTTAGAAAAAGCTCATGCTAATCACGTTTTCGGTATATATTACCACGCGTTCGTGCTGGATAACCTGCACGTTTTTCTATTATCCTTCAGTCGTCTCCAAGTGGCGAATGATGTTACATAGAAGTGGTGTGTGCAAAGGGGTCCACTAGAATAAACATTGTCACCTCCTTAACAGTGTGCACATCAGCAAATTCATCAATGATTTGGCAGACTCACGAGAGGTGGCATTAAGAAATCATGTCATAAGTGTTGATATCCTCGCAAGAAATGAAACTGCCCGAGTTGCCTTTGGCAAGCCCGGTGAGCAATTTTTGCAAGCTCTTTCTCGTAACTATCAGATTTTATTGATGAATGTTCAAGCCGTTGTGCGTTGAAGTTTGCTCGGAAAAGACATGGATGGTAATTTGCGGTCAGTGCTCTCTGCTGTACGACCACGTGGTATGGATCTGGTTGGGTTGATACGATTGTGGTGCTAAAGAGCGTCTAAGTTGATAAAGTAGCCGTGAACATCCGTAGCTATTGACGTATGGTCACGCACTTCGAAAGAGCACAAAGTCTTGATTATGCTAGAAAAGATGATGGCTTACTGCCATTAAATTGCCGTCAACCATGACACAATTGCACTTGTCCAGATCACAATTTTCAAGAAAGACCAAACAAGTTTTTTTTTAAAGTGCTAGCATATACCGATCAAGCTCATTTGATGTATTCCTGAACTCTGTGTCTCTCGTAACAGTAATAATGTGGTGGCGTTGTGACGTTTCACTACACCAGATGTAAATGCACGCGACATGACGGCTATTACTTTTGTAGAATTCTTGGAGTAGATAAAGCTATTCCGCTTCAAAACATTCAGCAAAAGTATTCTTATTGATAAGCAAGCTTCCTCCGTAAAAATTGAGATTCATTACACTCCTTCTATGATAGCAATAGATCAATTCGATGATCAAAAGACAATGGGGTTGCCTCGCACCTTGAACAAAGAAAGTTTGACTCAAAGATCATAATAATGGGATTATACGCTCGCTTAAGAGCGAAGCAAAAGTCTATCAAACAATTTCGGATGTATTTTGAAATGATTTGAGTTTACGCTTCGACTAATTTGCGTTTTCAACGTCCAGAAATTTGATTTGTACGCTATACCCAGGAGCGGAATCACGAGTCCTTCAAAAAATTTGACTTTCTCTACTCTATCTTGTCTTGTTTTAAGAGTGGCATGTATTAATCATCAACTCAAATTTAGACTCAAACTTTGCGCATATGTCCTGTATTAAACTTGTATATATGGCATGGCGTGAGGATGATAGATTTACGTATTCTACGTTCTTCTTCGTTTCAAAGTTAAATTGCCGATATGTTGTTACCTCTGCGCATTGCGCGGACCTGTCATGTGTCTGTACAATCTAATTTAGAAGGTACTTCGTTACACCCATCTTACCAAAATGAAGACAGCTCTGGGATTTACACTTAGTATACCTTTTGAAGATTGCGCATACGTAAATGCCCGACGAGGCGACCACAGCAGCTCGGGGCCATAGCTTGAGCTCAGCTCATGGCCCTTCGGCTTCCCTAGCTATTGCCGAGAAGCGCGGGGCGTACGACGACACGGTACGTCATGATCCCTCTGATCATAAGCGTCCACGAAGTCGAGGCAGTCTTGCCGAAGTGGCACCTCAACCTCCCACAAGTTCTCGTGGTCTGGGTATTTCCGTCACTTCACAAGATACTGGTTTGACCCTGGCGACGACGTCGACCCACAAGACGTTCCACGTGACAGTGGACACCTCAAATCTCGTCAAGAAGAGTCGGCGGGCGATGACGACTGGGTCGATCGCCATCCGGCGACTCGTGATGCTCTTCAAGCTCATGAGGACGGATTCGTTGTCATTGGGACTCCGCTGAGCGTCATGCTGGGATCACATACCGCTGCGCGGAAGGCCTAGAGAGCTTGGAGCACGTTGCCTTAAGTTGAGGACTATCGGACTCTGTCGGAGCGGCTCATAGCCGTTGAGCAGATGAATGCGTCGCTTCAGGTGACAGTGAAGCGCTCAGCGCCATTGGAAATTGGGTTCATTCCATTCTGTGCTCAAAACCAGTTGCTGGTTCAGCCTCTAGGTGGTCAAGCGCCTGTGAGCGCCACCCAGCGCCAGCGCTTCCGCGTTCACCTGTGCTGGATCCCGGTTCGGCTTAAGCAAGTCCACATAAAGCACCGGGTGGGTGCGCATCCATTTTGGAAGGTTTAGCGTAAATGTAAGGGCCCGCTTGGCCTTTTCAACATATTTTTGCTTCTTCCGACTGCATATTTTTCCTGCATGTCTTGACCTGCAGCCATCGCATCGGGAACGTGTCATAAGACACTCAGTCTGGTAGACAAGAAGTCATCGAATTCTTTGCGGATGGTGAGGGGGCTGACATCAGCTAGCTGTTCGGCCATTCCTCCTTCACCAAGCCCTGGGCCATGGGATGCGGCGTCAGTTGGACGCGAAGGTGAGTCAGCACGTAACGGCGTGTAGCCGCTAGACGAATGCACAACATTGTTCAGTGCAAACTCTACGAGTGGCAACATGGCGCTCCAGCGCCTCGTCTCAGCGCAGACGCTGCAAAAAACGTCTTCGATGACACGATTCACCCTTTCGATTTGACCATCGGTCTGCGGAGTATCCGCGGTCGACATATCCAACTTGGTGTCGAACACCTTGAAGATAGTCGACCAAAATTTTCCCGTGACACGGGGTCTCTATCAGAGAAAATCGACTCACGAAGTCCGTGTTGTCGAAAAACACGATTCACTAACATCGTTGC